TCTAGATGCTGTGTGTACCCTACTTGGTCACAGGGTCGACAGCTGGAAGACCATTCAAGGCATTGTCCGAAGAGATGATTTCATTGCCAGCATTGTCAATTACAATAACGAAGAACAGATGACGAGGAACCTTCGAGTTCGGATGCAGAATGATTTCCTTTCTAATGAGGATTTCACTTACGAAAGGGTTAACAGAGCCAGTAAGGCTTGTGGTCCCCTAGTGCAATGGGTTGAAGCTCAGGTCAATTATTCCGAGATTTTGGACCGCGTCGGGCCTTTGCGTGAAGAGGTGGGCAAACTGGAAGAGAAGGCCTTGAATACCAAAGCCGAAGCGCAGGCCATTGAGAATACTATCCAGGATCTCGAAAGCAGTATTGCCACATACAAAGCGGAATACGCCGCACTCATTAGTGAAACCCAGGCTATTAAGACGGAGATGTCCAGAGTGCAGTTTAAAGTTGACAGGAGCGTTCGTTTGCTCGACAGCCTGGCGTCTGAACGCACCAGATGGGAGGAAGGAAGCAGATCTTTTGAAACACAAATCAACACTCTCGTTGGTGATGTTCTCATTGCTGCAGCCTTCCTCGCCTATGCAGGATTCTACGATCAGCAATTCCGGAAGGCTATGATTGATGACTGGGTTAACCAACTTGTGCAATCCGGAATCAGCTTCAAGCCTCACAACCCGATCACCGAGTACCTCTCGAATGCTGATGAGCGCTTAACTTGGCAAGACCACTCACTTCCTGTTGATGATCTGTGCACTGAGAACGCTATTGTCCTGAAGCGGTACAACAGATACCCTCTGATCATCGATCCTTCTGGTCGTGTTACCGAATTCTTGCAGAAGGAAAGCACGGAGAGGAAGCTCACGGTTACCAGCTTCTTGGACGATTCATTTGTCAAACAATTAGAGAGTGCCCTTCGTTTCGGAAACCCTATTCTCATCCAAGATGCCGAGTATCTGGACCCAATCCTCAACCATGTTCTTAACAAGGAATATCAGAAGACTGGAGGTCGTGTCCTCATACAGCTCGGCAAACAGGAGATTGACTTCTCACCTTCATTCAAGCTTTTCCTGTCAACAAGAGATCCGTCTGCTACTTTCCCGCCAGACGTCTGCAGTCGGACAACCTTTGTCAATTTCACAGTCACTCAAAGCAGTTTGCAGACCCAATCTCTGAATGAAGTCTTGAAGTTTGAACGGCCTGATGTTGACGCGCGACGAACCGACCTAGTCAAACTGCAAGGAGAGTTCAAGATTCACCTTCGGCAGCTTGAGAAGAGACTCTTGCAGGCTTTGAACGAGTCCCGTGGTAACATACTGGACGATGACAATGTTATCGAGACTCTCGAGACCCTGAAGAATGAGGCAGCAGAGATCTCGAAGAAGATGGTGGAGACTGAGGGTGTAATGACCGAAGTGGAAAATATCACGCACAATTACAGCATTATCGCCCGCTCTTGTAGCGCCGTGTTTGCTGTATTAGAACAACTACATCATGTCAACCACTTCTATCAATTTTCTCTTCAGTTCTTTGTTGATATTTTCCACTCTGTCCTTTATCACAACAAACGTCTCGCTCAGGAGAAGGACCATACCGCCCGAGTCCAGATCATTCTCCGGGATCTGTTCATCACAACCTACCAGCGAACTTCCCTGGGACTCGCCCAGAAGGATCGTATCACACTGGCTATGCTCCTAGCACAAGCCGCGCCATACCCCATGGAGAAAGACATTATCGACATCATCCTCGATGAATCAACAGAGGGCGCGGATCTATCAACAACTCCTGAGCTCAAAGATCCAGTGATGAGCAGGATTTCCAACATGACGATCTTCAAATCGAGGTTCTCAGAGGTACCCACAGAACAATGGGACCAATTCTTCAGCGAAGAGCTCGCAGAGAATTTTGTCCCGGCTGTCTGGGAAGAGAATACCGAGCCTATCAACCGGCTACTCCGATCATTGTTACTTGTAAAGCTGTGTAGGATGGATAGGTTTGTGCCGACTGCCGAGCGCTTCGTTGAGACCGTCTTTGGCCGTGAATTGTTCGAAGGAAGTACCGACTTGAAGGATATCGTTGATCAAGTGACCGCAACTACTCCAATCTCTCTTAGCTCCAGTCCAGGTTTCGACGCTAGTTACAAGGTCGATGCTCTGGTTGAGCGCATGCAGGCGACTTGTGCAAACATAGCAATGGGTTCTGATGAAGGCCTGAAGAGCGCCGATAAGGCAATCAGCAATGCCGCTACTGCAGGAACCTGGGTTTTGATCAAGAACGTACACCTGGCACCCTCATGGCTGCAGAGCCTTGAGAAGCGGCTTGACTCCCTCAAACCCCACAAGGACTTTAGGCTTTTCCTTTCGATGGAGTCCAGCCCTAAGATCCCTGTCAACCTCATCCGTGCCTCACGCGTACTCATGTACGAGCAGCCCGCCGGTGTACGTGCAAATATGAAGGACTCGTTGTCTTCATTGTCCATAAGGGCTGGCAAACCTCCAGTCGAGAAGGCACGTGTCTATCTTCTGCTTTGCTTCCTGCACGCTGTTGTTCAGGAGAGACTTCGTTATGCTCCTAACCTTGGTTGGAAGGGCTTCTGGGAGTTTAATGATAGCGACGTAAGTTGTTCCTCATGCATATCATCAAAACAAAGCTAACGTTACTTGTGCGTTCTAGTATGAATGCTGCGCCTTTATCATCGATCACTGGGTCGACAGCGTTGCCCAGGAGCGATCCAACGTCGCACCTCAGAAACTCCCATGGGACATGATGCGCACCCTTGTGACCGAGACATACGGCGGAAAAGTCGATGACATTGGCGATTTCCAGCAACTGGAAAGCTTGGTCAACAGCTTCTTCACCCCAGTGGCGTTTGAGGATGATTACAAACTGGTGTCCGGCGTCGAGAATGACGAATGTTTGACCCTCCCCAGCACAACTGGTATCCGGGACTTTGTTGAGTGGGTCAACCGACTCCCTGAGAGAGAACCACCCACGTATCTCGGCTTGCCAGCTAACGCTGAGAAACTGTTGCTTGTTGGACACGGTAACAAGGTAATTTCGGACTTGTCCAGGGTGACTACTTTGTTGGATGAAGGGGAGCAATTAATGGTCGATGCTTGAATAGAGAGTTTGTAAGCTCAAGGACTGCTAATTTCTAATCTATTCTGTCTTCTTTCTCTTTCCTTTCATTTCTTGTTGTCTACTTCTATGTCATAGGATATACTCAGCGCCGCAGGCGGATACTTTCTTGTCAATCTTGGGATAATGTATTCTGTTTCTCTTCAACGTTTTACATCCATCTGCCATTCATGCGTTGCTCTCTGTATCCATCTCCCCTGTTTTCTTGACTGTTTAGACTGTACTTTAATTGAAACCAATAGACTATTCATTCATGAATAATAATCCTGGGTCAACGCCTAGGAACGAGGCCAAAGGGCAGTCCTGTACAATCACCGAGAAACACCGATCGAGTATTAACATCTGAGTCCGTAAGCTGTAAGCTTAGAACCCATACAAGGTATTCCCAAGCTGTACTCAATGAATCAGTTCCCTATGTCTATTCTGTAATACTGAGAATGAGGAAACACTTACTCTGTTCAAAGCATAAATAACCTTTTAGATACACACTATATTAGCATCCGCACTTCACGAGCTTGATAACGTCCACCAAGAACTCACATCGCGGGTAGTCACCACCTATATTTTACGGGAAACAAATAGTTAGCTTATGTGGTATGACTTTAATTCCTTTATCTTCTCTCTCTTTTCCTTTTGTGGGTGTTGTACGCATCGAGAGAAAGGAAGGGGGGGAGAGAATCATTACCTTCCTCTGCCGGCAATGAACGTCAGACGATTCAAGAACCAGAACCACCTGTCTCAAGATCTTCATATCATTAGCAAAAGAATAATGAAGAAGATTCATATAATTATAGCAAGAGATTGTATTAAAGACCGAAAAACGCAAGTTAAGTTAGGTAGAAACCTACCTCTGTCAGGCGGTCTCTGATGGCCCTTCGGGCCTCGTCGTATGCGTCGGCTTTGATCCTGACGATTCCTCCGCGGCGAGCAAGTTTGCTGACGTATGAAAACCACCGAGGTTAGCGAATCTCCAATATGCCGGTGCAAGTCGTCTATAACAGGGGGTGGGTTTACCGGATGGCCGGTTTCGCTACAGCAATGGTTAGCAACATAAGGTGCCTGTACTGGAATAGGAGATGGAGACTCACTTATACCCATGATGTTATCTCGAATCTTTCTTTTACCGGTGTCTGTTAGTGTATATTAAGGTTGGTTTCGTGGTTGGGTTCAATGTTGGGATTCCACGGCCGGTGAAATCGGTCACTTGGGGAGGTAGAGGGTTAAGACACAGAGTGGTTAACATACCTGCGACGCCGAGCTTGTTGGAATATAAGGTTTCGGGGTATGCGGGTTGTGTCCATGGTTTTGGGTGTCAATGAATGGAGTTGTTGTGGTTAGGATGGGTGGTGTGGTAGGTTCGTGTAGAGAATCTTTAAGTAGACCCCAGGGCCAGAGTAACACCAGTCCCCTGTTTCAGATCATAGTTTCATGCCTATTGGTGAATTCATATCTCTTCAAGCTCACGGGGCTAGTCTTAATGGCGGCAAAATGGAGACTGCGTGTGAGAATCTCATAAGGCAGTGTTGTCAGTCTGCTAGAGCGTTTCTTGGCCGGAAGATCCGTGATGAGTCCAAACTGAGTTTCGAGTGAGTGAGCGAGAGTCATAATGAGAAGAGAGTATGTCCATATGGGATTGAAGTGTGGTGTTGCGTGTCAGAGGAAGGCTTCCCATTCATCGTATATTCCCATCTGAGAAGGAAGACAGTGGTGGATATTCAAGGCAACTGTGGGGAAGACTGGTAGAGTTGAATTTACGTCTGAGTGACGGATATCCACCCTACTGTAAGAGACGCAAGGTTCACATTCCATCGTCATCCACGAGTGCCCATAATTATCATCCTGAAAGCCGTCATCCTAAGCAGGCGTAAATGTCATAAGCTGCAGTGCACGGGTGGCTACGAGTCGTAAGTGGCTTATTTCTAAGTAGACCATCGCATTAGGAGGTCCATTGCGTGCCGGATCAGCCAGAAGATGAGGGCCGAAGATTTCTTTGCGCGTTAGTTCAAGTCGTTGGGGATTCTGAGTTTGAGGGGGGGCCGGGAAAATAACCTAAATGCTGTTAGCGAATATACTAAAGAAACTTGAGGTCTTAAACATACTTCTCGCTGGCGACGTACTGGCATCCCGTTTCTATCACGAACATAAAGTTCGACAGCGCCCTCCACGAGCATCGTATTGCGGTTAAGGCTCCATTTAAGGATGACAACAGCACTAATATCCCCATCACCGCCGACTAGTAAAAGGTTCATATCGTTCATGAGGTCGTCCCATGACTCGCTCCATCCAGACTCTATTACAAAGGATGGAAGACGATCGTTATTTGCCCGAAGGAAGAAATCAGGTTCTTTCTGGGAACCACGATATGGACCTGACTGGAACATGAGCGCTATTAAGATTGAGTAAGGAGCCGGTTGTAGAGAAGTATATGGTAACTTACTTGTACCCACTCGTGCTACGAGTTGGATTTGTTCAAAGCTGGTCAAAACACCGGTGTCCCGCAAGTCAAGTTCACAAAGACGCCACCAATCTTGAACACAGTCATGAATTTCTGTGGACATGACTATGACTCGTAAGACCTTGGTCCAAGAATTATACGTTTTCCTAAGTAAATCAGTGTCAGAAGGGGTCGATGAGAGAGCCAATATGCGTTGACTTACCGCGTCGAGTATCCGTCACGTTTTTGGTTGACCGAGTCTACTGTCTGTTCACCCCACGATGAACTCACCTTTGTGAAAACTAAGATTTGAGGATTCGATGCTTTCTGAATTGCGTTGCGGACGTAAGACTCAAAGCACGACTGATCAGCGAATTTGTCCGCACAAGTAGTAATCATTGTTGGAGGGTCTAAGTTGACACCGCGAGGAAGGTTGGGACTGAGAGGGTACGACATAGTGGGCTGTTGGATCTGGTTCAGAAAATAAAGGAAATGATTAACTGTATTGTGGAGGAAAGATCTACTCCTGTGAGAGAGAGGACACTGTCAAGTAGCTTATCAAGGAAAGTGGGGCGATTTAAATAACCTTAATCGAGAGAGTTAGCTAACTACACCAGAGTATGTATATGAAGGAGAAGTGAAACACACATACACGTGACTAATAGTATCCTTGGTTATACTCGCAATAATTCCTTGATGGGGTTCCTTCAAGATTCTTGACCTTCATGACTAGCTGATGCTTCTCGTACCGCAAACCAGCCACTTTCGGTTGGAGAAATTTCACCTTGTCTCGTGATTCATCAAGCTCATGATTAGTATCGGCCAAAGCAACGGCATGCTCCGGCGAACGCTCTTCAGCCGAGTACTCGTGCCGGACCTGGATTACCGAGCTTTTATCAGATAAGTCATGTCTCCCCGAGAACATCGGTCAGCGCTATACATGCATGAATTCCGACAATGCACCATTGAGCTTCGAGCCTCGCACTCGTGGGTCTAGGGGCTAATGAGTTGTTAGATTATGCAGAATTGAAACGTAATACATTTGATGAAGATATGTTGTCGTCGTTAAAAGCACCCGGAAATCATTCTTTCGTAGTATATTACAACAATCACCCATGATAGGTATCAGAAACAGAAGAAGCATGCATCTAATTTCAGCCAATGCAATGTCCCAGAGCAAGGCCGCCGCGCTGGGGGTCAAGTGTATTATATTTACATGTAGTCGAAAACAGAAGGCTACTCACGCTATAAATGCCCGATTTGTATAGTATGTGGATTGCTGTTTTGTAATAGGTCCCTCCCTTAGAGAGCCGCCTTACTCATCTTTTTGTTCATCGTTGCCATCACCACCTTCTGGGGTTTCCGAGGAAGGTTGGTCCTCCTTGGGTTGTTCGTCAGCGGGAGTGTCGCCCTTCGACAAATCTGGCAACGGGGCTGTTGGTGTTGGTGTGGATTGCACTGGAGGCATTTCAGGGAAGATTTCTTTGAATAAATCTGGCAGAAACCTCTCCAGGCGCTTTTTAGTTTCGGTCCATATCTGTTCCTTGTTGACGTCTTGTGATGGTGGAACCAGATAGCCTCCATCAGCCATGACCAAAAGGATATTCTTGAGACTTTCTGGGATAGCCTCCTCCTACGCCGAAGGTCAGTGGGTTGTGGTGTTTCCTTTCGTTTCTGTCGTTCGGGGGGGGGGGGGAAGGGGGGAACAGAAAGAGAGAATGAGGGGTGATTTCTTACCATACTGTCTCCCTGGCCGCTATTCATCATCCGGTCAAGGATATCGAGTATCTTGAGCCACAGATCGAGCATTCCACTGGGATGCGGAAGTTGATCGAGATAACGTAAGAAAATCTTGCAGACCAAAGTGGCTGCCTGAACCCGGGTCTCGCCCATTCCAAGTGGGTCGGAGTGGAAGACCTCCGGCTTCAGCAGTCGGAGAGATAGTGGGAAGAGAACCTGTTCGAAAATAGCGGTCCACTCCTTCTCATTAGATGAGTTGATGTCAACCGAAAGGAGCGACCGCTGCAAAGTCGACACTGCATTGTGTCGGATGTCCCGGCAAGGGTTAATGCACTGTGTCATCAAAGAATGGAAAATCGGAGACCAATAGGCGGACCAGGCTATCGGTGAACATTAGTGAATATATACAGTGCACTGGAAAATTGTCACAAACCTTCGCCTTCTTCAAGATGCGACTGCTTGATAAGCGCAGGAGCCCGTTGACTTAAATTATAGGTCATATCAATGGCTGTCAATCCACGAGTAACGACTTCATTTTCACTGCTGGTATCTGTCAATTTTTGTTGGTTTCAGTGGTCATGAGAAGGGAGACAAACCTGGACTTTGGCGGCTTAACACCTTTAGCGCGCCGAGAGTGCGCGTCTCGTTGCCGTTCCTCAAGGTAGCCCACACTACCTGCGCTAACGAAATCGTTTGCAAGGCTTACAGCGGATTCATAATTATCCCCAGTGATAATGGGTGGCGTCGTGTTCACAATGGTTTGGAGGAGGCCGAATACGAAAGGGGCGGCCTCTTTGTGCTGATGCAGCCGCTGGAGGATCGACCAGAAATCAGGAGAGATAGTGATTTCATTTCCTAGAAGGCCTGCATTCGAAACGCAACGCGAAAGCCCTTCAATCACAGGAACAGCGACACTTTCCAAAATGTCCTGGTCAAAGCCTGATATTCCGTGGAGAATGACAGGAACCCGCATGAAGGGTTGATCCTAAGACACGGAGTTAGTCAGAATCGGCTCGGGAAAGTCAAGGGCTGGGACCGGCCATACATGGCTCAAGCGTAGCAAATTCAACATATAATAAATGATTCGCGACAAAGCCAGGGAGTGCAAGTTTCTCGCATCTCGCATGAAGGCTTGTAAGGAAGCCAGTAGTCGCTCGCCAACTGCCTCTAGTGTTGTTTGATCACGAAGGGTTAGGATAGTCGCTAGTTCCAGGAGATACATCATTCCAGGGTCGTAGTTTGAGCTGTTAGTGTCGAGCCTGCCATTTGCTGACCTCGACGGTCGTTCCGTTTTTACGACGATGACTGCTGGAGCAGACTCTTCCGGCAGGAGTGTCAATACCGTCTCCACGACTGTGAGAACCGTCGACAAAGGCAGCGACCTAATAGTTCTTATGAGTATGACTATCGTACCGAAAGGGGCGAAAGATATTACTCACTTGATATTAGCCAAAACGTCATTGATCGAACACGCTGTTACACAGTCCACAGTGCAAAGGGTGTTGTCAAGTTCCTCGTCTGACGGCTCCGGGGGATCATCGGCTGCATAACTGGACAGGTAAGATGTAAAAGCAGAGAGTAACCCAGTTTCATTTCCTCGCCCATCACGGTCCACAACTTGTGACGGGGGCTGCAATGGAATCGGAGGTATCTCAAGCTCAGCATTAAGGCTGGTTCCGAACGGCGGAATAAGGGAATTGATGAACAGGTTGCTGAGAATCCGGACAATATACTCCCAGCTTCGTTGCACTGTAGCTTCATTGCCAGCAAGAACCCGGAAGAGAACCACTGTAGCCAGCTGTGCTCGAAAATCCCTTCCGAACTTCACGGCTAGCTCGCTGACCATGACACTCTTCTTCCCGGCTTGTACCTCGGTGTTAAGAGAGGTGCTTGGAGGCTTGTCTGTTGCCAATGTGCTGATGGAAGCAAGACAAAAGACGATGCGGTCAAATGCTTCAGTCAGTCCATAACGAGCAGCTATTTGGGCGCATTGATCAAAGCCAGTGACAACACGAGAATATACAGCATCGTCAGAGGCCGACATAAAGACGTACGAAAGGGTTGCAACAACTGGTTTCCAGGTCGCTTCAAACATTTCTGCGTCATAAAGGTTTGTTTCGCCGATTGCCAGTTCTCCAGCGGTAGTTGACTTTAATAACAGCTCCCGCCATGCAAAGTCGAATGCATGCTTATTGTCATGCTCGTCCGGCAAGATAATCTCGTTCTGCTTAATAGAGTCGTAAATCTCTTGAAGGAACTCGGGAGCGAAGTCTTTTCCTGCGTTGACTCCTCGCAGGTTCTTTGAGAAGTCTGCACAGGACATGCGATTGGCTGATTTGACGTTGGGGTTATAAAGCTCTGTGTTCAGCATGATAATGGCATATGTCAGGATAAACAATGCATCTTTATCAGCAACCTCTGAAGGCTGTGCTTTCTGCATGAACTTCTCTGTAAACGTCGTTATAATTCTCTCAATAAGAGGGGATTCGCCGGGCAAACGGAAGGCACCAAGAAGATCTCTAAGCCCATCAACTACCGTTTTCTCTGAAAAATCGAGGAGATCGACGAATGCATCCAGAAGCTGCTCGTTGTTTCGTTTGGATATGAATTCACCCAGGACTTTCTTCGAGACGCGCGTCGTTTGTCTCAGGAACTTGGCCACCGAAACTGGATCGTCTGGGTTCTGAATGACACCCTGAGCTGCAAGATAAGCGATTCCACCCTTGGGGTCCTCGTTGAATTTCTGGGCGCCATGGATGATGGTTCTCTTCGTTCTACGCTGGCTCCTCAGGAGCTCGATCGGAGGAAAGCCTTCATGGACCGGTTCATCATCCAATCTATCAAATATGAACTGGACGTAACCTAGAAGCGCATCCAAGCAGAGTGGCGGCACATTGGTCGTGCTCCATGTGGCGGAGTCGGGGAACGCACTCCGTGACAGCAACCCGACCATATCCTCGCAAAGGTCTGCCCGGTCAACATCGCAGTCATAGTTAACAAATAGCTCTACCATAAAGCTCGGGATTCTTGCTAACACGCCGATGCTTTCCACCATGGCTTCTCGAGCCTCGGGCTTCCTGGAACCTCCCTCCAGGCCTAGTTTCTGCCTATCCTTCACTGGTACAGGCGTGGATCTTCCACTATTAGCTTGTGAGGGAGAGGGTTTCACCAGCTTAGGCGCCTGTGGCACTCCACTGTAGAGGGCCGGATCAATACCCGGCTCTCTCGGTATCTCAACCCGTGGATGGAGACAGGCGACCAAGTATGAAAGGTATAGTTCTTGCTGGAGTTTCAAGGCGGAGCGACAGGTCAACAGCAACGTACCGGCGACCTTAAGAGACCCGGTTAGTATCGGCATGCTCTCGGATCGGACCAGTTGGAAGAGGTGCCGGCAGAGATCATTCTGAGCTAACGTAGCTAAGCTAGGATGCCTGGCAATAGAAGGGCCCGCGACTTCCAGAGCCACATCAATAATTCTTAGGGCCATAACTCTCATCGGGTCTGTATGTTGCCGGTTATGGGGATCCAAAAGGTCGATCAGCACACGGAATAGCTCCTTGATAGACGCTAGTGAATACGGCTTGACTTCATCCCCGAGGTCGTCCTGTGGGTTGGGGGGAGCTGTAACCGCAGTTCCACTAAGCTCTTGCTCTAAAGGTTCATCCCCGCTGCTGCGTTCACGGTCTGGTGTCGCAGTGTCCGCGCCCATGGCGGAAAGATGCTGGGAGGTGACTGTGTTCCCATCGACAGAAGGGTCCATTTTGAGATTGGTCGGCTCACTATCGCCCACAGCCGGGTTCAGAACATCCACACCGGTTGGTATGTCTAAGTGCGATAGTCGCATAAAGAGAACCTGACACATGTTGACCATCGCCATCTCAGCCGATCTTCGCAGGACTTCCGACAGGCGGACTTGGCAGCACATGCTTAGGCCGGTCTCCATCATTTCGCAGACACTCTCATCACCAAGTAAGTCCCCCTCCGGCCGAGACAAAATACCCTCCATCAATTTTAAGATCCTCAGGAGGACGATTTCATCCGCAGCGGAGTCACTGGCTTCGAATCGACAATGGGTGATTGCGGCGGACAGGAGCTGCATCGCCATGGACAGTCGCGGAGAGTCCTGGCTAATAATGTTATAGGCAAAGAACTTGGTCAGCGCGACCAATGCCAGAGAGGTAATTGCGGCAGAGGTCGACGAGGAACGAATCACTTGTAGGAATGGATGCAGCAAAGCGGGTGTGTCAAAGGTCCTAATGTCTCTGCAATCCTTCAGATCACTCCGTAGTCGTGAAAATGCAGATATGAGTGGATTGTCCTGCATGCTCTTGCCTTTCTTTCCCCGCAGACCCCATCGATTCGCCAGAGCGTGATCTTCATCGACGGCCGACGGCCTAGACTTGGGGCGAGACGTTGAAGCACCATTGCGGGGGCTAGGGGGAGCAGATGTGTCGCGATCGTAGACTCGAGAGGCTGCACCGCCGCCTAATATGGCCGACACTGACGAATGAGCCCAGCGAGCATGTTTGCGCATAGCCGAGGTGACGGTGATACATTCTGTAGTCACCAACGCGACCGGATCAACCGCAATGGGCAAAGAGGAGGACATGTCGGTCGTAGGGGAAGGCAAAGAGGTGGGGGGGAATGAGCGAATGGCGGGATTCAGGTTACCCAACGAGCGAGCAATATTAGAACATGGCCCTTCCCCTTGTTGAGACGAAAGGAAAGACAGGGAGACTGGGGGCGTCGAGATCAAAGTCAAGCGGAACACAACAACATGTCTTCTTTTGCTTGCTCCGGGCGGAGTTGACCTGCTTACCTGATCCGGTTTAGTGGGGGCATGGGCAGCACTCAACTTAGTAGTTATTGCTCTACTAGTAGTAGCCTAAGCCTTTGGGCCTCCGGGGTATGGTAATGATCAATATTTCCGGTACGGGGACTGGAAGGCATGGTTGGTTGGGTACCAACTCAATACCATAGCGTAACCTTAACTCGTCCTTTTGATTACTGAAGGTTTAGTATTCAAGTGATGATAGATCGGTAACTACCTTACTACTTGAGGTAGCATAGGTTAGATAATAGTACCTACCTAATTAACCTGGTACCTAAGTAGATACCTCTCTAAACTATGATTGACTTTCGGTAACTTCATATTATCTGATCGCTAGTAGATAGTCGCTAGAGTAACTTCCGTCATTTCTAATTCGGGACTACATAAATGCAAGGGGAAGGACGAGCAACCAGTGCGAATAGGAGGTAATTTGTTCTTAATCAACTGGTTAAGATAGAACAAAGTGATATGTACCTACTGCCCTTACTTGAGTGCCCGTGAGCTCCTAAAGAAAACATCCCGATCGGGTTGGCGGATCAGTTATCAGATTTCCTTGTACGTACCCAATTTCATGAGTGTTTGTTACAAATGCTGTTTGAAAATAAATAATAAAAAAATTAAAAATTAAAAAGAAAAAATCCGATTGAACAACAAGGGACTAGCGGGATGGATCTGGGATAATCGGGATCTTATCCATGGTTGAGTCCAGGCGGTGAAGGGCGAAGAGTTAAATCGATGCTAAATCGGATTAGAGCTTCAGTTCTCCACACTTCAAGAAGATGCCTAAACAACTCCATCAAGCTTAGTTTTGGGTTTCAACATTCGCTTGTTTCTGACTCATTCCTTGCAGACTATCGATTTCTATCTGTGAACTTTACTTTTATGTATTTTTTTTTTGAAGATTAATCGGCGCTGGACTGGGTAAGTGGTGAAGTATCAAAGAAGGGTCAACACGTGTCCGAGGGTGAGTTGATAGGGAGTTGTTTATCGATGAGGGGAAACTAACTAGTAGTCCATTTCTTTTTCCTCTTTCTCTCGAATTCCACCTAAAAGCAATCGTCAGCTGTTGTGTGTATTTAAGAAAAAATAAAATTGATTGGTTTCGTTTGGATTGAAATAGAAATCTACGTTTTTATCGTCAAACCCATCCGTTTACCTGAGCTGAGAGGTAAGTGGAAATGAAAATAATTTGATTGTTTATGATTATTATTTGCAGCACTCTCTAGGGGAGAAGGGAAAAAAACCTCCCCCGCGCGCAGGGCGAGAGAACCCACTTCAACTCTCACGCTCGCTCTCCCCCCGTGGCCCCGACTAGTCGATTCAGCTTGCGACTTTCCCCTCCCTCGTCACTTTTACCCCCCTCCAGGTCTGCATATGATTTCGGTCGCTAACGTTTGATGTGCGCAAATCACCTGCAGCTTTCCTTACACTTGTCTCTCCAACAACCACTGTATCTACTAGTCCCGACTCACCTCGCACATAAACAACAACCCCTCGGTCTCATGAGCCCGTGTGGGTTGCGCCAACGAAGAAACGCGTCCTGCGATTATCACCTCACTCTGCTTTCCCATGGAGGGTAATCCTTCACTTCCTCTGTGGACTGCATGAGGGCCATCGTTCGCTACTGTGATTTTCCTTTGCGACTTGATTATTATGTCTGCTGCCCAGTGTCGCTTTCTCTTTCTCTAGACGACTAGGACTGGGTGCAACTCTCACTAATTTGGTGTCATTCTTTGAAACCGCTTCGGTCTTTTACTTAGTGACTTATATTTTGTAAATCGCGGACTCTCGTTCTTTACTCGCTTTTTTTTTCTTTCTTAATCGACTGGTTTAATTTATCGACCTTCACTTCTTCTATCTCCTGCCTCGTACTTTCCAATACCCCGTTGCGCGCGATCTCGGCTTCCTCAACCGCCGCCATGGCGACCGTGACCAACGCCCCATCGGACCTGCCATTAGAGCAACTTACCCTCTACCAGGCCTCCGATCCGTACCTGTCGTCCATATTCGTCTTCTATGGCCCCGTCGCAACGGCAAATGCCACCGTCAGCAGCTCGCGCATCCAGGCGCATATCTTGACCCCTGCAGGCTTCCAGAGCTATCCGCGAATTACCATTTCACCCGCCGCGCCGTTATATGCCGCAGTCAATCATCTACCCCGCGAGAAACAAGGCGACGAGGTGTGTCGAGGTCTTGCTGTCAGTATGTTGAAGTACTTCGCAGAGCTGTCCGAGCCCGCCAAGGAGTGCTTGCAAGCGATAGCACGTGCGGGGAAAGCAGCTGGAAATCTCCCCAAGATGTTTGATGAGATGCATGCGGCGGATCTGGCGAATCGCATGGTAAAGGTGGAACATACATCAGACATACTTCGCGATATTCGGGGCGCTTTCCAAGAACGCAAGGTTCCATGGGTTGACATCGACGTTTTGCTTCCGCCGGGGACTATCCAGCCTCATTCGCGGCCCGACAACGATGTTCTTGACGACGACAATGCCGATATCGAGGATACTCCAGATCTTCAGTACGGGCAATATACGTCTCTTATCCGCGGCTTGGGGGCGCCGATGTTCCTGCCAACGTCGCGGCTAAAACGAGCGCCATCGCAACCCACGAATGTGAGCAAGTCTAGAGTGTTCACCAAAAGCCAGAAACAGGACTTCCGTCTAAAGATGTGTGAATTTGTGGATACGGAGGAGAGATATGTGAATAAACTTTATACTCTTGTGCGCCATGTGGCGGAGGAGTATCGGTTGAAAGCTCAAGGAAGAGCGCCATCGAGTACGAGCCCTGACGAGGCTGCTCTAGCCACTCTATTTCCCCCCTGTCTGAATGAGATTCTCGACGTCAATATGGGATTTCTGGAAGTGATACGTCAGGTACTTGAAGAAACGGAGAAAGAGGCCATTGAAGATATCACAATCGATACGGAACTCTTATCATCTGTATCGCAACGACATTCAGTGAAGGAAGGGGGAGATGCAGTTGGGGCAGTCGCCTTCGCGCACGCCCTCATTGAGTGGTTCCCCCGATTCTCTGATCCTTATGCGGACTATATGCGCGCCCATACAGGATTTACCCAAACGCTTAATTCGTTCATGCGGGACAAACAATCCAGCTTTTCGAGGCGTGTTCATGACACCGGGGAGCAATTACTACGGTCACTGCTGATGGAACCTGTCCAACGTTTACCCCGCTACAGTCTCTTAATCGACACGATGACAAGCAGTCTTCCTTTAATACACCCCGCCGTCCGACCATTCCTGAAAGCGCGAGACATCATCAAGGACATATGTTCGCTAGACGATCCTTCATCGACGAACCATGATCAAAGTTTCCGCCGACTAAAGGAGTTAGTCGATGGCTGGCCATCAACCATATTGCCAACTGGTCGTCTGATAACAGCTGTCGATTTCTATGAACTATCACCGCCCTATCAGCTAGACAATCCGGCCCCTGATCCTACCGCTGGCATTATGTTAATATACAAGAACTGCCTGGTACTGCTATCAAAAGTCCCTGGCAGCAAGACAACAGCGCGTGGTCTGTTGACCGAGTTGGACAACGCAGCATCAGCTGCCAACGGCCCGGGTAGCTCATTACCTTCAACCGATATCCGTGTTGTGCAGGTATATGATCTCCACACTGTACGTTGCATGCAATCCACGTGCGGGCGCATCTTGTTCCTGTCACCTACATCGGTGAAGTCGCGTCCAAATCAAAATACAACGGTTGATCTTCTGGCCTTGGAGCCGGCTTCCATGTATGAGGGCCGGGCTAGCAGAGTGATTGAAGAGATTGTGAAGGCAAAAATCGAGGGCAGGTTCTCCGAGAGTGAGCGAGAAAGCGGCAAATGGTCTCTCCGGAGTCCCACTGGAACTGTTGGAAATATCGGTATCTTGGCATGTGTGTTCGAGGAGGAACCGAGTGTTGCAGTGAATCGAACCGGTCTGTCGAAAGTACGGGTTGAGTTTGATACCCCAAAACCGCTCCGCAGCAAGCTGTTGAACAGCCCAGATTTGGAGGTGATTGTTTCTGTATCTTTGTCGAGTGAAGACCAGTATCGGGTGGACATAGACTCAGTAGTTGGCATCGCTTCGTCAGATATTGTTACAGTGGATAGCTTTGTTCCTGTGCTCTCCAAACGCCGTAAGTATACAGCAATGAAGAGCACCCCATTTGTGCGAGTATTGGTCTTTCGCTGACGGTTGTAGTCCTGAACTTGCTTCTGCCGTTGCATGGCACCCAAAACCGGACCATGACTGAGTCAATTGTTCTCTCCAATTTTGACATACTTCGCTACCTTTCGGGCCATCTCATGGCGCAGCTCAAGGTCCCTCGTACCTTTCGCCCTCCGTCGCCCTCAAAACTGCTCTCTAGTCTTCTGGGTGGAAGTCAATCAAGAGAAGGCACACCAACCGTCAAGGCACCGACTTCCGCAACGCTATTGGGTGAATTCCCCAAGATGCCACCCCCACGATCCAGCGTCTCACGTTCCAATACACTACCTTCGGTTTTCCCAGGCAAAGAAGAGAAGAAGGAAGACCCCCTACCCAAGATTTCCGTTGTTGGAACAACGTCTTTGAAAGGCTCAGAAAGCCCGTTCAGTGTCTTGGAACAAAGCTTTGCTGCGTACGTCCTCTCCCTTCAGTCCCGCAGTGGAAACATCGTTGGACGGACACTTCGGGGGAGAGACAACGTTGATCGAGCTGCAGTCAATGAGCTGTATAATGTCTTGTTAGAAGATCCTGGACAAATCCAGGCAGCAGCCGAAGTACCCGTCGACACACTTTTCGTAGCCTTCGAGACGTTCATGGCAAACGCATGGCAGGAGCAGATGGGCCCAGTACTGGAATCCTCGTCATTAAAGTCACTTCAAAATCAGTTCGACACCATGTATCCCCGCGAATTCGAAGAAAATTTCCGGAAATCCATTGGGGAGATGAGTCCACAGAATCGTCGCGCTTTAGCTTCAATAGTGCGATTACTTGCAGAATTACTTGATGCCTCTGGAAACGACGGTGACCGAGGTGCTCTAACGGCCGCTTTTGCAGAGATTCTAACAGCCGACGGAGATCCGATGCAGCACATTTCCCTCTTGGATCGATTGGTTGACGATTTCGATAACCTGTTCGACGAATTCATTCCTGGGGGGGCATCGTTGGAAGGTATTTTAAACTGCGATCAAAGTAAACCCGCCTCGCAAACGATCGGCTCAATAAGCTCCAACGCGTCGTCCTTCCGAAAGCGTTTTGGTTTCAGTTTGCACCGAGAGAATCAACGATCAGAGGGGGAGAGCAAGGTCTCGTCGATCTTAAGGACATTAAGCAAAAGCAAAGGCTCTGGTGACTCAGAGCCCGGCACTCCGAGAGGCTCTTTGCTACGCTCAAGATCCATAGACATCGACACGAGCCTAGGCCATCTCCTGCGGCCTGGTTCGCGTGACCGTCCCGGGGCGTCTACATCACAAGAATATCTTCGAAGGCCAGGGAGCTCCCAGGAGGAAACAGCATCTTTGTCCTCAATTCGAGAAATGCCAACTAATGGAGTGGTGAAAGTGCGGAGAAAGAGGAGAAGCTCTCTGTCAGACCTGAGACCTGGTACAGCATCAACGGAGACGTCAGCCGTATCTCCGGGGCAGGAAGAGAGGCCTACCACAGCAGGGTCGTCCTCCGACGTAGTTACCCCAACCAAACAGATTCGCCCACAAACCAGCCACAGCTCAGGCTCTACGCAGCGAAGCACCTCCCCAACTAAGAGCGGCTCACCTACTCGGATGACTTCGCCCAGCCGACGATCACCGACGCGGCCTGCCACTCCCAGCCGAAAAGAAAATATTGACCCAAAACTATCACAGGTTGAGCGTGGAGCCTCCTTGCGGAAGAAAGGAGATGCAACGGCATCACCTACGCAAGACTCGAAGAGAAGGTCACGAGCAACCAGCGTACCCTCATCAAGGGCGCCTGGGTTGAAGGAGCGGCCAGTCGCTGTTAACGGCGCATCGGTACAGAAGCCGCAAAAGTTGCGGATGCAGAGTCCACAGAAGGTACACGGCTTTTATTTTTCTCTTTTTTATTGTTCTTTTCTCTAAGAAAGCTACTAATTCAAATGGTAATAACAGCTTCGAGATCGTCTTCAGAATGAAAAGAAGGCTCAGAGTGCGGCACAGCTGGGGCTCAAGGATGAACTGTACCTTATCGGTGAAGAATTACGAGCGCTCAAGATCGCTCCACCACAGCAAACCAGACATGCAAGACAAGGTTCTGAACATTTGGATGAACCTTTCTCGCCAACAAACAATGCGGCCCTCGTATCGCGTGTTCGTCACCTCGAGGCGCGTTTCGATACGCTATCTTCAGAGTTCAACAGTCGGACATCTGCCATTGAGAAAGACTTGGAGTCATCTCTCGTGGTTAGCGAGAAACGAGCTAAGAAGCTTGACGAGCTATATCGTGAAGCCAGCGCCGAGAATGAAGCCCTTTACGACCGGTTCAACTCGGAGCTGAGCAAGGTTGCGAAAGACGTGCGAGCAGGAGATGCTGAAGATGCCCTCAAATCCCAGCTCTCTGCAGCGTTAGAGGAGATTGGCCGATTGAAAAAAGAAAATTTCCGACTGAAACGAGAGGTTGGAGGCCTGAGAGCTCAGCAAGCCGCGGTGGCTTTACTGAAGGCGAGTGAATGACGATCAAATTATGCCTCTAGACTCGAAAGTATACTTCTTTACCTCTTACCTGCTCTTTTTCGAAAATCAAAATCGGTTGGACACGAGTTACACGCATTTACTTTAAGACAGACGTTCCTTTTCCTCTTTTTCACTACTTTATGCTCGATTACTGTTGGTCTACGGCGTCAACGCAGCCTTTGAATATGTCCAGGGAGAAATACGACTGCTCGGTATGGGGATTCGGTTGGAGAGGTCCAGGAAAGTCACTTTCTGCTTCCATTCTTTCGTACAGCATCTTCCTTACTATGTTGATAAATGCTCTCTTTCTTTTTATGTCGGAGTCGATGCAGATCTTCTTGGCTATTTTCATGTATCCCATGTCTTCGTTCTTTTTGCTTGTCCACTTTTGGCCACTTCAATTGCACTGAGATAGCGTAGCCATAGGAGTTTACATGTCGGTCATTTTTTATTTCCTTTCTTACTTTGTCTTTTTCTTTCTGTGTCCTTCAGTTACTATCTTTACTTCACTTGTACTCCTCCTGTCTTGTCACCTTCACTATGTCATATTTCACTCTCCTTCTATAATGTAGTATAACTCCAATAGCTTACAGCCAGCCCATCAATTTCACCGGCTCGTTGTCCAGCATCTTATACATCCACTCCCACCGTAATCTCCCGGGCATCTGTAAAGACTCCCACATCCCAGGAAACCACAAATCCAACGTCGGCAACCCCACGGGCAAGTCATACTCAAGTCCACAAGAACCCTTCTCAACTACCACCATGGGAAGAGTAAACCGAGTCTGTCCGGGCGCTTCATGTCCAAGCTGATCCAACACTCCAACCAACGCAGGGTCCATCTTCTTTTTCTTCTTCTCCGAGCGCCCTCCCCGCTCATCAATAACCCTTCGAATCACCTGAAGATCCGATGGCTGAAATGGACGGACAAGTAAGGATATCACCTCCCCTTTGGAAGTATCTTGAGCCACCTCAACCCCAGCTCCACGGGAACCCTGTTCGGGGACAATACCAAACCGAAACCAGAACCGATTATCCCAAAGCCTCCAGGACGTATAGCCCGCCGGAAGCCCTGAAATCGGAACCTCAACCCGCAGAGTAGGCAACCGGTTCCGCATGAACGGTTGGCGGGATAAGAGCCAGGTATTGCCACCCTCGACACTCTGATCTGCTTCATCTCGGTTTCCCTTGGTGTTCATGGGTTGGAACATTACCCCACCCAGCGTGAACGGTTTCCTTTGTTTAGGGTCCGGCTGGTCCTGGGGTGGAAACACAAGGTCCGTGAAGGACTCGAAACTGCGGAGAGGGAAGTGATTCTCGGGGAATGGGGCAAGGAGGTCGGTTATTCGGCGGAGGGTGAGGCATTTGATCTGGTGGGTTCTTTGGTTTGCTTTGTCGTTGTCTTTGGGTTTGGGTTTGGTGTTGTTGGTGGCTGTGTTGAGGAAGGAGGTTGGGTCTATTGGTGTTGAAGGGAAGGTGAGGGTGATTGTTCCGGCGGGGAGATTTAGATGGTTGATCTTGCAGAAGGTGAGGAGGGTGTTTGAGAGGGATGTTGAGTTCCGGAGGAGGGATTGGCTTGAGTTGATCAGAGATAGAATAGAAGGGCCTTGGAGGGCCTTTGGGAGTTTGTTCTCAGCCAGGAGGCTGCGGATTGCGTTGCGGGGGGTTAAGGTTGGGTCGAAATTGGTAGGGTCAGAGACGTAGGGGATGTTGTTTTCGTGGCAGGTTGCTAGAAGGCTAGACTTAGGGAAGGAGAGGAGGGGACGACAGATGAGGATTCCGCCTGTTGAGACGGTGGTGTCGTTTCTCGGCTGTTGAGGTCCGGACGGGATCGTGTATGATGACCCGCTCTCAGAGACGCCGTAGATACCGTGGCATTCGGGGATGCGTGTCACTTGGGGGATGCCTGCTAGGCCGGCGCCTTTGGCTCCGGTGCAGAGACGCCAGAGTGTCGTCTCGACGGTGTCGTCTTGGTGGTGACCCATTAGAAGGGCTTCGATCTGGTGGTCTCGACATGCTTTGCCCAGCGCTTGGAAACGGAGTCTGCGGGCATGCGTCTCGAACGCGGTCACTTTGGATGGTGACCTAGTGTTTTCAGGCCAGGTCAGTTCGAGAATCTCAGATTTGATTCCTGGTGTTTTGGTTAGCGTTGGTTTGGTATTGAGTGATAGGGCGTATAAAGGAGCATAGATACCGATGTCTTGAAGCCATTGTGAGACCATGTTAGCTTCGCGGGTGCTCTCTTCTCTCGCTTTGTGGTCGACGACGAATGCTGTGACGGATATATCATTCGGTCGACTCTTTTCCCATTGTTTACTGAGATATGCTAACGCCATGGAGTCTGCGCCGCCACTGACTGCCAGACCTACAGATTATCAGCATGAGAATCTAGCGCTCCTACGCTTGGGTGCCTTTCGGCGATATCAACATACCCAATCGGCGCGGGAAGGGCCGCGACAATCGGGAGCCGAGCCATACTCGCTGGAAGGATTCCAGGGATTGCGAGGCACTTATTGCTTGTGTACCAGTATGACGCCTGAGAGAGGACGCCGCCATAGATTCACTGACTATTTCATTCGTGAGCAAGCCTTCTCGGTTTTTAGTGTCCCGTTGTAAAAAGAGTGGTACGGAGGAGGTTCGATGGATAAATTTATACTCGCAGCGGTTTAGGTCTTGGCGCGGATGATCCGCTCCGGGGAGTTTTTATATCGACCTCAACTATGATTACAATCCGTAGTTCCCAACTTCTACAACTTGAATTAAATTTCAAACACAGTACCATTGTTCTGATTGTGTCTGTTATCAACAGCATATATACATACGATCATTTACGTCCATGTGGATATTCACACTATGTCCAGCACTGTACACAGAAGTAATGTCACAAAGAATTAGAAGTGATGGTTCTCCACTCGAATCAAGGATTATGAGCAGACACGGAGGCCGACCCAGAGGCCGTCTGTGAATGGATGCTCCCTGGCGGCGCACTTCCACCTTCTCCCTGAGACATGCCTCCTGCTTCGACAGGCGGCTGGGAACCTGCTCCAGCATTCTGGTTGCCGTTATCATCCTCTTGGCTAGGGCTGGGCATTCGAATTTCCTTCTTTCCATTTGCTTTGTAATGGAGCACCATATCTCCCGATGAGCGCCAAATATGAGTGCGAATCGTCGCCAAAGTCATATTGGGGGGTATCGGCTATTTCAACGTTAGCTATTTATCCAACTACATCGAGCATAAATGTGACATACAACTTTGTGACAGTACAGTTCCAAGTACTCTTCCGGTTTCATCGCATTCTCCTCGGGTTCGTCAGGGTTCGGTGGGTCGATTCGCTCCGCGACATACGCAAGGATCTTCTTTGCTCGTAGCATACGATTTGCATTCAGCCGATTGTTGGATGTGTTGCCATTCGCGACATTGCTAGACGATAATTAGCTTGCTACCTCCGAGGAGATTATGATAGTAGACGGGTCCTCTACATACACTTCTGGCTTCACAACAGGGGGTAAGAGATCATCATACGGTTTCAGCGTAAACGCGACCTTGACGGGTTCCTTGAAAGGCACTTGGTTCTACAGAAACAAGTTAGAGGCAATGTGACCACCGTGAAGAGACGGCGTACCTTAAGTAACAGATCGGCAAGCCACAGAGGAATCGATTTCTCCAATTTATCGACCTCTTCCCGGATACTTCCTACACTGCCTCGGTAGAGGTCAGAAGCCACAGCAGTTTCTCCGGTTTCTTCTTGTATCAGCACGGCAACACGGTCCGGTATATTCAGTACCGGCGTTTCATTCTCCTGACTCGGGGCGAAGGCTGGTGTCAACTCTTGCCCGGGGTGAGCAGAGAGATGCTCATCGTATTCCGAGCGGATACGCTCAATGAAGCCGCCTAGGTTGTTTTCGAACACCTTCTCTTCCTTTACTGAAGATTTGTCAGACTCCTCCACCTTCTCCTCTTGAATCTGGGGCTTAACTTCCGATGAAGTCCGTCCAAGCTTCTTCGGGAAGTCCATTCTGAACTTCTTTCCAAATAAAGAGCTGCCCTTTTTCCGCTCCTCCTTATCAGGCTCCATCGGTGATTGTGGAAGAGCTGTTGGTGTCGGCTCCCCTGGTGTCGGCAATGCTTTATCCGTATCCAGTGGAGGTAGACCTTGGGTTCTAGGTGATGAGAGATACTCACTCGACTTATCTGACAGGGAGCTCCTCGTCAGATCAACAGTAGGTGGAGATGTGAGATAGTCAGAAAACTCTCCCGGTGATGTGCCGAGGTGACTAGTATTTGGGTTAAGTGTTGGCGTCGCGAGAGATCCGGGGCTGTTGGCAAACCCTATTCCAAAGCCTGGCGTCGAGGGGCTACCAAAAGATTCATATCCGGGCCTCAGAGATGATATTGATGGGTCGAAGGATGTGGCTAGATTTCGTGATCCATCTGCGAAGGGTATGTCCATTGGGGCGGAGGTATTCGACATATTTAGTTTTGCGAGCTCCTCGGCCTTTGCTAGGACAGCGTCACGATATTGAGAGTCGCGTTTGAGCTCTTCCTCAATCAAAGGAGCAAAAAGCCAGCGCAAGATCCATTTGCCTAGGTTGACTATAGTTTGTCTGTTAGCTAATAAGCCCGAGCAGGTGGTGACAAGTGGGGCATCATAGACATACTCCTTTGATCATCACGAATCTGTGAATAGTCTGGCAATTCGGCCTCATCGGCGTAGACCTCGGCATCAAAACAGCGACCTGGTTCCAGTATCACGGACAATCTTCCAGTACGAATATCAATCGTGCACCAGTGAGCAATACTTTCTATTGTGTTTAGCTCGGATGCCACGTCGTCTATATGACGCTTGCCGTATGATTGAATTGGCACACACTACAAGCCGTTGGTTAGTGAGGTCTGTGGTGGGAGTTTTCCTTCCTAGATATTTCGATCAACAAGGCATACCTTGAGAAGGTCCCAAAGAACCACATCTCCAGCAGAATCCTGCGTCAACGTACGCTTTCTATCGTTCAAGAAGAAATACTTGATCAAGCCATGCTGACCCTCAATTGTATCATCTGGCAGCGTATGGACAGGAAGTGTAAGCCCCAGTTCGTCCTCTATCTCGGATGACGGTGACTGCGCATTTGCATTCGAGCGCGGTTGGGTAGTTTCGGGCACCCTTGCTTTGGGGAACGTCGAGGTGTTCGAGAGCAAAAGAACTGAATCATACGGAATTTTCTTCGATCGATTATGTGCCGCCTTCGTTTTCTCTGTTGTTGCGGCTTCAGCGCCCGAAGCAGTTTCTCGCTCGCTCGATGATGGTAGCTCGATATCAGCAGTAGTATCCACATCATTCCAACGGTTAATACTGGATTTTGGTGTCGCAGTCCAGATGTAGTCTCCAGCTGCTACGACATTGACTACACCGTCGTGTTCTTGCAACGTTGCGACACAGAGACCTTGCTCAATGTCCGCCGAATATCGCGTGTCGGTTTTCGCAACGAGGCCAGACCGGTCACTCGAGTAAAAGACAGATAGCTGAGGGTGATTCGAATAAAGAGACCAAACACTGTCGTTGTGCATGGTCAATGTGTGCATGCACCTTCCGGCGGTTAGGGACCAGATCTTGATCGTTTGGTCGGACGATGCCGTCATGATCGTATCCCCGTCACGATTTACCAGAATGTCTCGAATGTTATCTGTATGTCCGACAAATTTGGTGATCAGCTTCCCGGATTTGGGGTCCCACACTCTGACCACACTCTCTGGACCGCCGCTGGCGATCACAGAAGACACAGCTCCAAGCGCATATACAGACCCTTTGGCCGTGCTATCCCCTCCGCAGGCGTCAATATTCAATATCTCCCCACCGCGATTCAAATCCCACAGGTAGACTTTGTGATCTAGACCTCCAGATGCGACCCAAGAGGCATGGCTCCCCGGTGTAGCCAGCGCTTTGACGTAATCCGCATGTTTCCCGATAGGGTCCGAGACTTCCGTACATTCGGAATGCGGTCGCCATAGTCGTACAGTAGTATCGGAGGATGCAGAGACTAGGGCAGAGTTGTTCTTCGTTAGAACAATGTCATTGATCCAATGGCTGTGCGCCTGGACTTGATTTCGGAATGTCGTGGGAGCCGGTTTCGAAGCGCCCAAGGTGGGAGGGGACGATGACTTCAGTGATGAATTTAGATCCCATGAGCAGATGACACCATCGCGACCAGCGGAATACCTGTTTCACGGGCGGTAGTTAGCGCCGAGTTGACGGCGACACCGGCGAAAGCGGTCGTTCCCAGGGCGCGGCAAAGATTCTGACAGAAACGCCGAAATCGAGGGGTTTGGAGGGTGCTCACAGGATAGAGTTATCTGTGTCGATTTCTAGGCCGTTTACCCCCAGCCGATGACCGCCAGGGGCATCAGGCAGAGGTAGCACTGAGCAGAGCGAAAAACAATCGTTAGTGGAGGATCTACAAGTGAGACAGGTGTAAGACCAGCAGCAGAAACACCACGAGAGAATAAATCAATAGACTAAATCTGGTGGGAAAATCAACATACCATATGTGATCCTCTGATGACTTAATTTCCGGGCCATGTAGTGTTGAGGTCCTCGGAAGAGGCGAGTTGAGAAAGAAGTGCGGAGGAGACGGCGCTCAGTGCGGAGGTTAGACCAAGTGGGCGGTCGATCACTCACCAACAGTCGCAACAGTCGCAACAGTCGCAACCGGGAGCATCCCCAGGAATCTTTAAGGTATAACAAGGAAAGGAAAGAAATCAATCACAACACACAAAAATCAAAGGAACAATACAACGAAGAGGAGGGTAAGGAGGTGAACGAAAGAGAAGAGCCCACAGCAAAAGAGAATAGGGGAGAGAGAAAGAGAGAGAGAGAGAGAGAGAGCTACTGGAGTTTAAGTGGTGTGCCTGGAAATGACAAGCGTGGAGGCTTTGATTATCTTAAGTTTAGTCCCGAAGGTCATGCCTCCTCCTCACATGATGCCATCCCAGTGACATACTACTAGTACTACCTGATCGTAGTATAGTATTTACCTATCTCTTCTTTCTCGACTCCTTTCCATTCCTTTCTGTTATATATATACGGATATATGTATATACATGTTTTCATTTCGACTGCAGCACAGGTCCATTGAAGTGAACCAGTGCGGGATGTTAATTACTTACGACTAGTAGGACGACTTCTCCACTCCCGCACTTCATTTAACGTCCAGTGCAGTGATATCATTTGCCGGGGTTGTGTTGACCGCCGCAGTTCGTCCGATGCCACTGAACATTCTCTACTAATCCTCGAGTAGATGCTAGTATAGTGGCTATTCACTTCAGCCGACAGCTATAACTGACACCATTGTACATACACAGTGATCTATGCATAACATAGACTAGCTAGTACTATCTATACTGCTAGAAATACTCCGCCAGGTGGTTGTATACTAAATACCAGATCCAAATGAAACTAACCAATCGAATCAATCCCTGGTAAACTCCGTGAGTGAGATCATCGGGACATAGGCATGATATATCGAGGTCTCCGCGAGAGTCTCACCTTACATGGGCTACAACCAAGTCTTTCCCAACAGGGAAAAGCCGAGCAAAGAGTAGTAAATTAAAGTCCAAATGGACATCCCCACCACCTTAGTTAAGCCCTACTATCAACCACCTGTGACCAACGAGAAGAGCGTACCTGAATCGCCCAACATCCAAAAGACGATCCGGGCCCTCCAACTACAGCCTCACCCCGAGGGCGGCTATTACAGCGAAACCGATCGTCATCCACTCCGGGTCCCAAATCCCTATCGCGACGACATGGATAAGAGTAAGAGAATAACGGAGCCAGACGCCGAGAAAGCTACCCGGTCAGCGAGCACTACGATCTACTACTTCATTACGCCCCGGTCGCCGATGGGATATTTCCATCGCAATCGGAGTCGCACGGTGCATACCCTTCATCGTGGCCGAGGTCGGTACGTCATCCTGCACGCCGACCAGGCGAAGGAGGATGGAGGGAAAGTGCCCATTGAATCATTTGTGGTGGGCCATCGGATTGACAAGGGAGAGCGACTGCAATGGGTTGTGGAGGGGGGAAAGTATAAATCCAGCTATTTGTTGCCGGATTGCGATGGCGATTTGTCTGGTGATAACAACTTGAAGTCAGAGGGGTTGTTAATTAGCGAGGTCAGTAGCCAATGCTAGGAAGCTGCTAGTATTACAAGGAATGGAAGCTGACGATTGATCAAGACCGTTGTTCCAGGGTTTGGGTTTTATGACCATGACTTCCTGACTGTAGAGAAGATGGAACAACTCCTGACTGCTGAACAGGCTGAGGAACTAAAGTGGATGGCAAGGAAGAGCTGCGACAATGCATGATGCAGAGAGAGCGCCCTATCCGATATGCTATGATACCTCGTCTATTTATAACGCTATGGTGTATTGTACAAGCGATGAGATTATATATACATGAGTCCTTTATTCGTCCTGAGACCTACTTTTCCTCTCAAGGGAATTCCATGCCCATTGGTAACTACCCAAAAACACGGCGCCTCCAATACCGATCCAAGCCACCCGTGGTCCGATACCTCTCCAAAAAGCCCCGAATCCTTCCTTGGAAATATCCTGAACCACGTCCTTGATCCGCACTCGACCACCTTCCGCGCCATCTCCACGACGAGCGAGCATGACTCGCGTCTTGATGACGTCGAGAGGGGTCGTAAGCCCGGCGGCAATTGCGCCAGCGACACTACCGAACATGGCACTTGTGGAGGCCGGCACCTGGTCTATGGAAGAGCCCAAGCCAGATTTCGAGGTATGCTGCATGCGCTTGGCATATGCCTCCTTCATTGATTCCCACATAGTGAACTGTAAAACGGTGAACGGGATTTCCCTTGCAATGGTGATACCGGCTCCCCGATACAGTTCCCTGATGACCTGTCCATAACCACCACTTATCCCACGGGCAGCATCTGGATGGCGCAAAGCCAGAATATCCTTTAAGGCCAACAAACTTGAGCCACCAAAGAGACCCGCTTGAGCTCTTTGTTTGATAACTTCAGTAGGCACGCGAACTGCGCAAGCTGCTACCTCACCCATCGAAGACGCAAGAGAATGTGTAAGGATTATATGTGTCCGGGACGGAGTCTCGGAGCTCGAGACTGGTAGAAGAGAACGTTTTACGCCATCGTAGACGATGAAGAAGGATGCGGCTGATGGTGCCGAGCCGAAGAGGACGGAAGGGAGACCAGCATAGATTCCTCGGATAGTCTGTCTCAGGGACAGACTGGAAGGGGGTACCGATGGGGCATGGTGTCTAGCTCTCTGAAGGCGTGTTTTGATCGTATCTAATGGGTACAAAGAACAGTCGACAGTGAGCCCGGCCACTGCACCAGACTTGTGCGGCAGGAAAGGTTAGTTGACAGACGATCAAGCGGGGGACCAAGCGTAATTATCACAGCATACAAGCAAAGACCTCGTCCATAAGGAGACCAATAGCTCCGCTTCGGGTGACTGAGCCATGATAGTGAAACGCGGGGTTGGGACGTGGCACGAAGGAGCGGACTGTAGAGGATGGAATTCCTGGCGCATCCTGGGATCTGAAGAAACTCCGATAATCGCAGATCTCGCTAAACTCCGCAATCTCCGCCGCCCGGAGGACGCCAGGTTTCACCCATTGTATGTACATGTAAATATTTTGCTGCAAATCTCACTCGTTATATCGACCATATTGGCGGCTAATACTCTTCGTTACGTCTCCGTCGTTCAAGACCTGGTGCGTGCCCTTATCAACGTCCAGGCCTGGTTCATTCAAAGTGGTAACATAGAAGAGTCCTGTATTAAATCTACAATAGAACATGGTGATATAGAAGGACACGAGGGCATTAAATGAGACATGGAAGTGGTTGGACCTCGATCAACAGACTGAATGACTACCGCTGCTGACTTTTTGCATTAATCCTTTCCTCTTTTGGACTGCAGACAGTTCTTTAGTTCATGTATTTATAGTATCTACCTGGCTAGTTTTGGCTTGATGAATACAATTAGGGGCATGTGAAATGAATGAGCAGACCGAAGGATGAGGTGACCCTTGAATCGAGCCAGATGCACGATATAATACTGCATAGGAAATATCGAAGCCAAAGAAAAAAATGTAAAACAAGTAGAAAGGGGCAATAGAGGTCTAACAACCAGCCATTGTTTGCTGGGAAGGTTAATCGCCCGAGCAGCTCCATTTCACACGACCGACCAGAAACGCCTGTATAACAACGTGGGGGGAAAGGGCGGAGCGGAAGCATTTGCTCCCTCTTCCCAGCACAGGGGAAGTGAAAGTGGATAATCAAAACAACTGAGGTAGTGTAGAAAGCATTGACCTCATGACCTATATTGAACCGTACAAAACGGCTAAAGAGTGACAGACGACCACCATGGGCAAAATGCCCTGAACCATAACTTGACGGTACAAGCCCACAAAAGTGTATCACGACTCGAAAGCAACCGGGAGCAACAAGCAATATGGAAACAAAGGTCTCGGGTCGGAAAATGGACCACGAAGAGTATTAGCTGGTATTAAGGGTGAGAGGCCTATTTGGCCTTACTGGCCACTGCGGGGCTCGGAGAAGGTGGCTCCAGGATGTGTGTATGGCCCGGAGCCCTGTGAACCTCCCCAGAGACCTCTTGGTGACAGGCATCGATGTTTCGAATCCATTCATCGGTCAAGACATCATCGAGGATCGCTCGTTCTTTCACGCTCACCTTGAGCATCCGGCCGATGATATAACGGCTTTCGCGAGGCAGGAGCCGCAAAAGCCTCCATGGGCCCTTGATGACTTCCTGACGTTGTCCTGACGGGGGTGCCGCGCCGGGGGGAAGCGGGGGTGCCTCTTTACTGGTTGTGCGTCTGGGTTTGTTGTCACCATTGCCGTTTTTCTGATTGTCGCTAGGTGTCCTCTCTTGGGGGCTGTCTGGGGGTCGATTTTCGTCGTGGGTGGCTGATTCCGGTTTCGGTTGGGCTTTTGGCGCATCCTGGCTTTTAGAGGGTTCTGGCGGTGGCCCGGACACTCCATTCTTCGATTCCGAGGACTGGCCTTCCCGCGCAGATGAGGAGAGGTCAGGAGCAGACTTGATCGGTCGATGGCGTTTCGGGTCAGCATCTGGCACTGGAGTCCCCGGGGTAGGAGAGGACACAAAGAGTCTATAGGAGTTATCGCTAACTCGGGGTTGCTTCCAAGGGAATCGCCGCAAACTCATGCAGCAGAAGATAATAGCCAGAGACCAGATATCCGTAGGGCGCGGATCATATTTCTTCTCATCATACACTTCCGGGGCGAGGTACGGATCGGAACCCACAATTCCTGAATGAATTTGTAAGTTCAAAAAAGAAAGTTTTTTTATGAGAACGCCTTCATGAGCATAACAGCCAGACTCACCTGAAGCGGGAACAATGTCATTCTCAAAAGGGTACCGGAAAACAACCGCACTCCCGAAGTCAATCAGTTTCATAATGCCATGCTCGTTGACAACCACGTTATCCAGCTTCAAATCCCGATGGGCCAAGCCCATCCCGTGTAGATATGCCACTCCGCTGAGAATTTGCTTGAAGGCGCACGCGACTTCTTCCTTCTGCATCTTGCCGGTCATAACAATCGCAAAAAGGTCAAATGGGGCGTATTCCATGACCTCGTACCAATGGGTCCCTTCTTGGATGATATCAAGGGTTTCGATAATGTTGCCATGGTGCAAAGTTGACCCAATGCAGAACTCTGCTGTGACTTTTTTCGAATATTCCTTCAACGTCTCCCAGGAATGACGGTCTCGAAACTGCTTCACGGCAAAAGTCACGCCGTCGCTGTTACGTTTCAGTAACCGAACAGAGCCACCGGCCCCAGATCCTAGAACCTTCCCTAACTTCCCATACTTGGAATTGAGCCCATGATCATCGGCAAACGGGACGCTGTCGGGTGCCATTTGATAGGGTGTGCTCTTCCCAGAGGACCTGCTCGACCGTTTCGCTGCCGATGATGGTGACTCAGCGCGTTTGTGTTTATGACCCATCTTGAAGAATCGCTTGAGCTCCGCCATATGGCCATGATGCTTACCCTCGGGTTCTTGCTGTCTGGAGTCCTTTTTGCTGCCGAAAAACCCACTACGTTGCTTATCGCTTGCCTTCAGATCACTCGCGCTTGCCGACCGGGGGGTTGATGGACGGCCGAACGACGAGGTGTGTGCACGCCGTTTGAAGTCACGGCCGCCAAAAATAAACCGCTGATCGAGCTGAGCAAGGTTCTTCGGCTGAGGAGGGCGCTTACTGCGAGCGTACGGATCATCCGGTTCTCCTACCGGCGTGATGGCGCCAGGAGGAGTGTAGTCGACCCTAGGGGTGGCTGGTGGGCTTTCGTCTTGAGAGTTGGCATCGGGCCCAATGAAGAACTGCGCCCGATGTTTTGCTCCATTCTGTGGGTGAGACGATGTTTGCGAGACATTGGTCTTTGCTAGGTGATCGGTCGAACCAGGCCGCGAAGTTGGGGCGCTTTGGGGCGCTTGGCTCTTCGTGGATCCACCTGTGGGTGGAGACGTCTCTGGGGTCATCGCCGCTGAGTTTGCGCCGGTTCCTCGATCTGTAGCAATCGACATGGAGGAAGTGCCATTAGTTTTGGATTCACGCGAATGGGTGGCCGCGGGTGTAAGTGGTGGTGATTGCATCACGGACACTGGTGGGGAGGCATGGGGAGACGGCAAACCAGATCCATTAGCTCCTCGTGTACTGCGATCGCTTGATTCTCGGGACGCAACCTGTAAGGGACAGTATGGTGATTAGCCTCTTTCTCTCCCCTCAGTTCGGGCGGGCCGATGTGAGGACGGTGCCTTGCAGAACATATGCAGCCACATGCCGGCAGATTACCTGCTCATACATACCCTTGAAGAAGGTAGAGAGACGGGATCATATGAGAAACTCCCCAGCCGAGACTCTTGTAATTGGGATCTTTGAAGGCTAGCCGCCAACGACCGCAAGTCATCCATTTGCTTGGGGGTCTCGACCGGCCTCGGTGCGGGGCCACCAGTGGCGGCCGATGGCTCAATTTCCTCTGTTGTTGAAGAGAAGCGGACCTGGCTTGGTTGTGCTTTAGACTTGTTCTCCTGATCAGCTGAATTCGTACCCTGCCCAGCTGGCGCTGGGACGGGTTGCTGAGCGGCCAAAGAGTCTGGGGACAAAATCAACGATATCAGTATAAAATACTTATTCTCGACTGACGGTGGTGAGGGGCGCTGCATACCGGATTCCATGTTCGTATGGGCGAAACCAGTCGCTTCAGACGTCATACTCCCCAAAATTACGTTGCGGGACACATGCCCCTCCACGGATTGAGCTGATAGGCTGGCCGATGATAATAGCGATAACTAAGTCAAACGGTTATAGTAGAATAACTTCTTCCTCTCCCTTATTCTCCGGAGGCGGATGTGGTTGGATGTTTGACCGAAGGCAACCAACGAGCTGTGAGGTGGAAATGCGCGGAGGATTTCGTATGCAGGATCCGTTGCCGTTGTTACTCACAAAACAGTAGGCGGAGAGAAAACTGGACCCATTCAAAAACAGCGGAGGACCGGAAGGATGGTTAAAAGACACCGGGATAGTCCTTGCGCCTCTTATCGTCAAGGCTTCGACAAGAACCAACAGAAGGAGGAGTGGGATGTACGGAGGGGGGCGGAGTCGAGGGGAGAGATCCACCAGACGAGGAAAAGAAAGAGAGAGAGAGAGAGAGAGAAGAGAAAGCAGGTGCGGCGGGTTTGGGGTTTGGAGCCAGAAAATGACGCCGGCGGCAATAGCGGCGCCGGACGGAGGAGGATTAGTTTAGTGGCAGAATAGATTAGTTTCGTAGCTGGGGGGGTGGGTTCGTCAAACGCCTGGACCATTCATGCGGATCAGTTCAAGATGGATTGATGGACCCCAAACAGTTGGAAGGGGAAAAAAAGACTATTCCCCTTGGTTTTTCTGGTCAAGCACAGTCGCTTTCGTCCTGGAAAGAAAAAATGGTCGGGGACAAGGCGGGAGAGAAAAAAGTAAAAAAAAAGAAAAAGGAAAAAGGAAAAAATAAAGGAAAAGAAAAAGTTTATGCAGGACAGATAAATCAATTGCTGAGATTTCAACTGACCGTTTTGCGCGTGCTGAGAGGATTGGATTTGAAACGGTTCAATCTTCTTCGGAATCTGGCGGAGACGGTCAACGGTATATGACAGTTAAATACAGAGTCGTCGTCATGATTCTCTTGGGGATTCATTGCTTTCTTTCTGGTACGAGCAATACTGAGATGCATCACCATGTGACCCAGTGGGATTAAAGCCAAGTCTTCTATTTACAGTTGTCAATTCCTCCATGTCTTCTCCATGATGCACCGGATTTCCCGTTGTATTACGAAGAGAAATCGAGCCCAAGATGAAGGCAATAGTCATAAGAATTCTAAGAATTCTAGCCAACCTTGGTACTTAGCAAATACACTCAGCCTTGGAGGGTCATTCGGCCTCAAGCCAAGGATGAGCCAGACCTGGTCGTTATCGGTACTGGCAGACTACTAAGAATACCGACAA